GCCCGTGTGCTGTATGCTAACTCCCTGATCTTCTCAGTGATCCAGTAAAATGGGCACAGTATTACTCTCCTGATTTCATAGGTAGAAAAAAGGAGGCTCAGAATGATTCAGGGCCCCGAGGTCACACAGGTATAAGGTAGAGGTCAGAATCCAGCCAGCGCTCTTTGCATTACACTATAATATTCATTCTGATTTATTCTTCCTTTGGTGACTCTCAAATTTGCTACATTTCTTCTGGCACTACCCTAATCCAGGCCTTCACTGTCTTCTTCCTGAATTGCTACAACAGCTTACCAGTTATTCTCTGTGTCTGCTCTTTTCTGCTCCAGTTTGCCTGTACCCAACTACTCTGTATTTCTTTTATGTCCTCCATAGTGCCTGGCCTTGGGCTAGGCCTGGGTAAACACTCAGCACATTTTGTTAATAGAATAACCTAGGCCTGGCTCAGCAGGTAATTTATTTTCTAGCATCTAATTTTGTGCGTGTGTGTGTGTGTGCGTGTGTGGCTGGCCTGTATGGAAATCTGAACCCTTGACCTTGATGTTATAACACCAAGCTCTAACCAACTGAGCTAACCAGCCAGCCTAAATATGATTTTTTTTTTCCTTTTTGTCTTTTTTTCGTGACCGGTAACGGGATCGCAACCCTCAGTGTCGCGCCCGCACCACGCTCAACCAGTGAGCAGACCGGTCTCTATATGGGATCCGAACCCTCGGCGGGAGTGCCGCCACACTCCCAAGCGCCGCACTCTACCGAGTGCACCACCGGGCCGGCCCCTAAATATGATTTTTGATTAGGCAAGGTGTCACCTGCTATGCTTTGTGAGGATGGGGAGTAGTAAAATCATACCAGATACAGACTAGGTTAATAATGCAGTTGACTTTTTACTATCCTTGGTAATGAAGGGTGTTGGGAAAAATAGGAAAATGTCAGGGCCCCTCAGATGTTCAGAACCTTTCTGAGCATTTGCTGTAAATATCCCCAGGTGTTCCTTGTTACTGCTTAACGTAAGTTGTGTATGGGCACCCAGGTGTCCAGGGTTGTGGACTTAAGTATAAAAGACCAACAGCTCTGATCCACAGCGCTTCTCAGAACTCTCAGAGAAGTCAGTAGGATGGTTGCTCCTAGATCTGAATAAAACCCATTCATTTTTCTATACCTATGGCTCCCAGAACCTTTTTTTCCTATTACCTAGCTCACAGACCTGCATGTGGAGGGTTTGTAACCCAATCTGTGCAACAGACTCAAGGGGTCTGTAAGCCTTAGCTTTACAAAGGATGATAGAACTTACATGGGGAGTTCACAGTTAATCTGCAAAGCTTACCATGGTGGGAAGCTTTAATCTTCTCCCCTCATAAATCTGCAGGAAGTCATGTTTCTCTACCACTGTAAACCTCAGGTGGGGACAAAAAGTCTTGGGTGTTAATTACTTACACACTAAAACTCCAGTACAGGCGGGAGTGTGTAAAAGCCACAAGTCAAAGGAATCACTGAATTCTCAGCTCGGATGAATAAAACCAAGTATCTTCAGCTTAACCTGATCCAGAAATGCACACTTTGAGATGCACGTTGCAGAGGGGAAAGTGAATTTTATAGAGTTGAGTTTCTATATGCTTATCTGATAGTAGCATATGGGGAAGTGTACAAGCCTGTATCATAGATATTTCCTTTACCAACTTGGGTTTAGATCAAAAGAGTATGGTGTTAGGAGTGAAACATGGTAAATATCTCGCACGAGTGACCATTTGCCAGTTACCAGACATGAAAACTGCCATGAGAGTGTCAGTGCCAGGGGTCCCTCAGGCTCCCACACTCCCTTCCGCTAAACAAGTCAAAATATTTTGACAAATGTGGCCATTTGTTTAATATATTCATCATCATCTGTCTAATCTGTCATATCACACAGCAATGCTGTGTTATATGAAAATCTAATCAGATAAAAAGGGTGGCCAGACTCGGCATTTAAAATCCCTTCTCAACCTCTTTGTAGCATCATTTGCAAATATCAATTAAGATCAAAAATACAAATGTTCTTTGACCTAACAGTTCCACTTCTAGGATTTTTTTTTCTCCCGAATAACACTACCACCACCCAGCCAAAACAAACACACACGTATGTAAATATTTATTTCAACATTATTTGTAAGAGCATAAGACAGACACAATTGAAATATTCTCTAATAGATGAGAGTTAAATAAATTCTGATACATCCAATCAATGAAATTCTATGAGGTCATGAGAAAGAATGAGGTAAATCTTTATGTGATATATTAAATATGGAATGTGCTACAAGATATGTGAAGTGAAAAAACAAAGGTGCAGAGGAGTGAGTAGAGGACGTGTAGAATATATAGTACATAGTATTCTTCCTTGTGTGTAAAAAGGATACTGAAGCATTCATTCATTTATCCAAACTAAATTACAGGTAATAGCCTCTTCTCCATGCATTTACTTGCTACTGAGTTTACTTTAAACCTCCGAAGACTCACTATATAATCTAACCTACACTAAGAAACTATGGTGCCATCATCTCTGAATGAAAATGAGGAGAGAAGGATTAAAAAACTAGGTGACTTCTTATAACCTAGGAGAAAAAAATGGAAATAGATATGCTGCCATGGCATCCCTTTGTCCTCCTCCTCATGGAAATATACTGCTCCCTTTATGTCAGCTATTTGTGGGTTCTTGGAGGTAAGTATCCTTTTTAAAAACCTGTCATACTGAGCCTGGGGCTGGCTCCTTATATCATTTATGGACCAAAGAAAAGAACTGGATTCTGATTTTTCTCCAGCAGCATGAAGTAAGCAACAAATGCTGGAGATTATGAAATAAAACACCCCATTCATGTTCGGGGAAATTTCCAGACCAACATGTGATAGGGGCAGACTAGGGTATTAGGAATTATGAGGATTCAGCTCCATACACTTAACCTTAGGATAGTAATGTGCTAAAAAGCACACATTCATGAGGAATCAAAGTAATTCCTAGCCTCACAGGTTTGGTACCTTGACTCTTTCAAGGTGGTAGAGCATAGCAGATCACAGCATGGCTATGAAGCCAGAGTCCAAGATTTGGTCCTGACGCTGCCATTTACTAGCTATTTGACCTTGAATGAGCTACTCTCTGGTCTTGGTTTTCTCAAATGTAAAATGAGGATAATTCTAGCACCTATCTCCTAAGGTTGTGAAGATTGGACAAATAAGTAAAATACATAACCAATGGTAGGCATTACTACATGCTTAAATTAAAAGCTAATCTATTTTGGAAAGAGAAAACAGTCATATTTCTGCACAATAAGCATAAAAGCTTCAAACCCTTCACTGCTCCTCCTCTCTACACACACACCCCCGAGGCCATGAATTAAAATAGCAGATGTGATCTTCATCTCTCAACTTCTATAGTGCAGTTTTTCCTAAGCAGTGTGTCTAGTGCAGTGCAAATTAACTTAAAGTATTCATTTTATCTCCAAATCATTTCTGGATCCCACAGTCATTACCTTCAAACTCAAACTTGCCTTTGAGATTAATTTTTAGTTCTTCTCCTAGGAGTGAGAATGTAGCACCTTCATTCATTTACAGAAAGTTTAGGTACCCACCATGGTGGTGGTGGTGGTGTCTGAAAAGACCCACAGAGAACTTGGTCTGTTGTGTTAGGAACTCCCATCTGCTGCTGCAGAAATGAGAGAGGTACCACCTCAGTGGAGTTTCCAGGCTAAATGCGTGGCAGTTTCCCTACTATGTAGGCAGGATATGGTATTCCAGAAAAGGAGGTAGCCATGGGATCCTGAGCAAGCACGTGTCTGGACCTCAGTTTCATCATCTCTAAAACACAAAGATTTCATTAAATGGTCTATTTTGTTCTTTTCACTCCAAAAGTCTCTAAGTGGATATGAACCCTGAATGGAAGAGCTCAGGAAGAGCCCAGAGCCCAGGAACCAGGGCTCTTTGGTATAATACATTTAAACAGTTACCCTGACTCCAACCTTGCCACCACCCACCTAAATACACAGAAATGGTGATAGAACAGCTCCCATTTATTGAGTGCTAATTGCTGAGTGCTTTATATACATCACTGCACTTAAACCTCACAATAAACCTGTGAGGTAGCTATTAATTTTTCAGATGCCCAGAGAGTTCAAGCTGAAGGCCAAAGTTGGGAGCCTAGCTTCTTCATAGGAGAGGAAACTTGAGTGGATTACCAAAGTCCCTTCCAGCTCTATACCATTCTGTAAATCTAGATCCATTGTATTCTCAAGCCTTCCGAATCAGCCACATTGGGAGTGGGGGGTCCTAGAACTGTGGAATTCCCGTCAGATTCTTCCCGACATAGTGTGGAACCTTCCTGATCATCATCCTTGGATTCTGCTTTTTGAATTTGTTTCATTTTAGCCATGCTGGCTTTATGAAGCATCACCTAAGGAGTCCTTCTAGAGCCTTTGAGAGCCTCCAGGGCACAGATTCTGTACACTTTATTCCAAACTTTTTCCCTTTCTCTCAAAAAGTCAGACCCATCCACAGTTTCTCTCAGGAGAGAGAGTGAGTGGAGTTCCCTTCCTCTGGGTTTTTGGATGGCATCAGGCCGCTGGGCAAGGCTGAACCAGAGCAGAGGGACGTAACCTCACTTTCGAGTCTGGTTTCAAAGCACATATTTATTTAAGTTTCTGATTCCACCATGGCGGCACATTTTCTGGGAGTCTTTATCTTCCATCCCTGTGTTAAGCATATCAATCTACCCAGCCAGTCAGTCTCTCTCCCTCCCTATCCCCCTCTCCCCCCCTCTGTCTCTCTCTCTCTCTCTCTCTCTCTCTCTCTCTCTCTCTCACACACACACACACACACATTCTCATTCATTCTCTCTCTCTTTGGGGATATCTCATAGTCCACAATGAACATCAAAATTAAGGCTGTTCCTTGTAACAAGAAAGCAAATAAAAAAGAAATGAAAGCCCAAGCCTTTAAAATCTCATTGAGGGATGTCTTTGGAACCATCTCTTCTTTACAGGGCTGAAGGCTGCAATAAATAGATTCATCAGAGACTCAGAATAAGAAACGCACACGTTTATTATGAGCAGCTGCATTTGCCTGAGTTCCTGGAGGGATGTGGGATTAGACTGGCATTCATTCACTGCTCTAGAAAAGGCTGTGCCAGCAGCACCACAAGTAGCAAGTAAGTTCCCAGCGACCTTGGTGGCGCCCACTCGGCAGCCGCATCCACCAGACTGGACCCGCCTTCCCAAAGCGCTGGGAGCACAAGACCTCCCTGCCCCACCTCGACCCCAGAGGGGCCGGCCACTGATTCTGCTCCCTCTGTGGGGTCTCCAGCTTTTCGGTGGTGGGTGAGGCTATGTGGGGACTTCAGGAGCAGCCCCCCAAAACCTCCAACCAGACCATCCAAGGACAGCTGAGTTTGGAAGACCCACCTTTGGGTGGAGGAGGCAGGATCCGCCCGGGAGGCCTGCAGGCCTCTCCTCAGCCCCTCAGGGGGAAGGAAAACAAATCCCCACAGAAGAAAGAGCCCAGGCCAACATGCCCACGAAGAGGGAAACCCTGCCGCCCGGAAAAGAAAGGTGCCACTTTACCTCTGATTGGTCCTTCACTTCCTGTGGGGCCTCTGGATGGTATTTAGCAAAGAGAAATACAGAACACCCAGTTAAATTTGAATTTCAGATAAACAACATGTACTGTTTTGATATTAATATGTCCCAAATACTATATGGGGCATACTTACACTAGAACATTATTTGTTATTTATCTGAGATTTAAATATAATTGGGCATCCTGTATTTTATCTGGCAATCCTCTACCCCCTTACAGTCTTCCCTTCAGCTAGGTTTCTCAGGTGGAAGTTTATTTTAGCTATGTGCTCTCAAATAGAAAAAGGCAAAGACATCAGGCCACATCTGCTGAATTATATCTCTGGGGGTGGGCCCAGAATACATACTTTTATCAAGTTGTTATGTAAGTGATTCTGATACACAATTTTATTAGCTATCTATCGCTTCTGAGCAAATTACTCTAAAAATAGAGGCTGAGAACCACCAGTATTTATTATCTTAAAGTTGGTATGTGTGAGGACTTTGGGATTGACTTAGCTTCGTGACTCTGGCTCACGCTGTTTCATGACACTGCAGTCAAGGTGTTAGTTTGGGCTACAGTCATCTCAAGACTTCATTGGTGTGAGAATCTGCTTCCAAGCTCACTTTTATGGCCCTTGGCAGGCCCCAAGTCCTTGCTGGCTACTGGCTAGAAACATCAGTTCCTCACCACAAGGGCCCCTCCATAGGGCTATGCACAACATGGCATCTGGCTTTGTCCAGAGTTAGGGATGAGAGGGAGGGAGGGAGGAAGGGGCGGGGAAGCCAAATGTGGGAGTGGGGGAGAGAAAGCACACAAAATGAGCCCTCAAGATGAATCCACTCAGGGGATGAGTGAAGAGAATTACACAAGAGCGTGAATACAAAAAAGCAGGAATCTTTTAGGGCCATCTTGGAGGCTGCCTACCACAGTATTCAAGTTTGAGAAGTGCTACTACAGATGAGTCCTCAACATACTGCACCAACACCACATTTTAAAAATGGGATCCAGTATCTAATTTTTCCCTGTTTCCATCTCTCCTCCCCAGCCACCCCTTGGGGATCTGAAACAATAACAGTGAGGAACTAGGAAGAATGAAGAAGAAATATATCAAAACTACAATCTTTGGAGAATAGCAAAATGTCAAATCGACATGTGCTCTTAGCTGTGGCCTTAAGCTATCTGATCTAGAAAATAGAGACCAAAAATCTGCTTTAGTGAAGTTTAAATATGATGCATGTGGAAGTGCCTCAGAAACTGAGAGGTGCTGTACAGATTTTGGAAAGTAGAGCCACTCCTAACGTGAAAGGTGGGACCAAAGAAATAGCCCCTTTGCACTTCTGCAACCAATTCTGACATTTTTCTCTTTCATGTAGGCTGGCTGTGCTGACTTCCTGGAAAGGTGAACATGGCCCACAAAAGCTATATTACACATATTAATTTTCATTTTAATTTGTAATTTAACCCCAAAGTGATTTACACTGTTCCCTCCAGAAAATGCTAAGCTCCCAAAAGGGACAGTCATCTCTATTGCATCATCAGTGACAAGTTTCCCAGGAAATCTGTGCAAAGTCATCTGCGTCACATAAAAGATACGATTCATTTTTCATGGCTCTGGCGGTGTGACCCCCTCCTCTCAGGGAGAGAACCATCCTCAGCAGCGCTCCTCCCCTAGCCATCTTTCACTCCCATTCCTAAGGTTTGGACTTTTTGTTGGTGAGAAAAGTGATAATCTGTCAATTGCATCAAAGTGCTCATCCCATCTCTCTTTTTCCTTCTGTGTTTACCAGTTCTGGGCAAGCCTGCACCTTTATATAACTCCAAGTCTCTAATTCAAAATAGACAATGCCATTTTGAATGGACTCTGTTTTTCTCTGAGGTGGGCCAGTTAGTAAGAATGGCCATAATTTGCTTTTTGTCCATTATTCTGCTCCACCCAACCTGTTCCTGGGCTGTGAGTCCCAGACACCCAGCAAAGATGCTGACTGATTATGATGCAGAGGAATGACAACCTGGGTCTGTTCTGTTCCAGCCACTTTGCAGCGATATGGCCTTAGACCTCTCTAAGTCTCAATGGCGAGAATGATATCTGGCTGTTCTCTGGCACGGGGTGGTTGTAAGGATCAAATCAAATAGGACTGATGCAAATGAAAGACCTTTTAAAACCTTACAGTGCTATATAAATATAAGGTGGTTAGTTTATTTGTTAGAGCCCTTCCTTTGACATGCTTCAGATATTTGGCCAGCTAAGTATTCCTATAGTATTATTATTTGCATTGGTTACTAGGTGAGAATTTCCATTTACTGATCTTAGCAAGCTTACTTAATAATTTCAATAATGCTTTTTTTTTTTTTTTTGCAGCTGGCCAGTACAAGGAACAAACCCTGGACCTTGGTGTTATCAGCATCATGCTCTAACCGACTGAGCTAGCCTGCCAGCCCTGCTAATCTTTTTTTTTATTCTGGTGAAATATATATAACATAAGGTTTGCCATCTTAACATTTTAAAATATACGATTCCGTGGAATTAATTACATTCACAATTCTGTGTGACCATCATCTCTATTTCCAAAACTTTTTCACCATCCTAAATGTAAACTCTGTATAATTACAAAAATCTTAACACTGCCACAAAGCTCTTGCCTCATGGTTTCTGTTTTAGCCATTTCTACATAGATATAATTAGTGTTTTAAAAATCTATTTTCAAAATCAGCGGTTCTATCTCAGTAAAATTGTTTTTATTTTATTTTATTTTTAAAAGATGACTGGTAAGGGGATCTTAACCCTTGACTTGGTGTTGTCAGCACCACACTCTCCCAAGTGAGCCACGGGTCAGCCCCTTCAGTAAAATTGTTTTTATTTTATTTTATTTTTAAAAGATGACTGGTAAGGGGATCTTAACCCTTGACTTGGTGTTGTCAGCACCACACTCTCCCAAGTGAGCCACGGGTCAGCCCCTTCAGTAAAATTGTTTTTAAATAAGCAGTGCTTAAGCTAACCTTAAACAAGTACCACAATTAAAGAGAAGATAATAAATTCATTTTTCCTGGTTCATTAAGTTGCATGTGAGCTTCTAGTTAATACACAATTAAAACATTATAAACATATTAAAAGAAACAACAAAAGAAAAAAATGTTCACCTATCACCCTATCGGCCTGATACCACAGGTGAATAGACTGAAAATGCAAGGAGGTAAATTGTTTCACTAACAGCATTTTTCTTCTGAAAGGGAAAGGATGGGAGAGTTGGGCTCAAGACTCAACTTTACCCCACAGCCCTTTTTCATCTTTCCAGGGCATTTGGGGAGTAGAGGGTAGGGTCAGTATCTTGCATAAGATCTCTCAGCAAATTCTTGACAGAGCTGGGCAAAGACGTGATGGTTAATTTGATGTGTCATCTTAGCTGGGACAGATATTCGGTCAATATTATTCTGGATGTTTCTGTGAGGGTGTCTGGGGATGAGATTAACACTTAAATGGTGGACTTTGAGTAAAGAAGATTGCCCTCCACGATGTCTGGTGGGCCTTACCAATCAGTTGAAGGCAGAAATAGAACAAAAGGCTGGCCTCTCCTGAGCAAGACAGAATTCTGCCAGCAGACAGCCTTCAGACTTGAACCACAACATCAGCACTTCCCTGGGTCTCCAGCCTGTCAGTCCCCCTGATTTTGGATTTTGGATTTGCCAGCATCCATCACACAAGGCAATTCCTTAAAATAAATCTCTCTTTATATACAAGGGTACTTCAAAAAGTTCACAAAGATTTGTATTATCTTTTAATTCTATTTTTCTATGAACTTTTCGAAGACCCATAGTGTATGCACATCCTATTGGTTCTGTTTCTCTGGAGAGCCCTAATATAGATGTAAAGCAGGAACATCAAAATCTGGAACCTTATACAATAGGATAAGTCCTCAAGTCATTTATCTACTCCACAGTAAATCCACACACTCACAGACACGAGCGAGGTAGGAGCCTTAAAAATTTCAAGGACATTGGCTAGTGGAATGGCTGTCGAGAGAAGTTTCTGTCTCTGCCCTGCTAGAAGCCAACCTCCCTCAGCCTTGGTTTCCTCACCTGAAAAACTGAAAGCCCCTTATAAACACTGCTATCTACTGTCTGGTATTATTTTCACTTACCATATTTCCTAAATTAGTAGTAATAGCTAACATTTGCGGACCTTATATGTTCCAGGCTTTGTGCTAAGCACATACATTATTTCACTTAATCTATCCAACAATCCCATGAGGTGAATAGTAGTATATCCCCATTTTACAAATGAAGAAACCGAGGTTTAGAGAAGTTAAGCCACTTACCTAGGTCACATAGCTGGGATGTAGCACAGCTGGGATCTATATCTGGGTCTACCAGAACTAGGGAGTGTTCTCCCTAATGATTTGTTCTGTAAATGTGAGGAGTTATTTAACTGCTTTAAGTTCTGATTTTCTTCTATGTACCTGTCTATCTCCTAGGCCTGTTGTGAGGATTTAGGAAATGACATTTGGGTGGATCTAGCACATGTTGTGCACTCAGAGTGTGATGAGAATTTCTATTATAGGTACCTGTTATGGACTGAATGTTTGTGTCCTTCAAAAATTTATATGTTGAAATCCTACCCCTAATGTGATAATATTAGGAGGTGGGGCCTTTGGATAGTGATTGGGTCATGAAGGTGGCACCCTCATAAATGGGATTAATGCCCTTATAAATGGACACAAGAACTTGCTTTCTCTCTTTGCTCTCTGCCGTGTGAGGACATAGCAAGTACAAGGCCATCTGCAAACCAGCAATAGGACCCCCACTAGACAACAGATCTGCTGGCACCCTGAGCTTGGACTTCCAGCCTCCACAACTGTGAGAAGCAAATGTTTGTCATTTAAGCCACCCAGTCTGTGGTATATTAGCTACAGCAGCTCAAGCTAAGACAACATGCTGAACTGCCAGCTCCTTTACACAGAGGACAATCTAATCGCACATGCTAAAAGGGCCAGCAGCCAAATTTGTTAGAAATCAAAGGCCAATCTGCCATATTTATCAAAATCTTGTTTTAAGGAATCCTCCTTGAAAAGAGTTGATAAATTTGAAAAAAATTTTTATGTGAAGTCTTTAAACATGAATATCTTCTTGAATATATTGATGAGAAGTTTAAATTACTCTACAACTCAAAGTTTTTGGCAAATCAAACATTCCTTAAAATGACGATGAAATATATCTCATATTTTAAAAATACAGCTATAAGATTATTGTATTAGTTTGCTAGGGTGCCACAACAAAGTATCACTGGCAGGTGGTGTAAACAACACAATTTTTTTTTCTCACAGTCCTAGAAGCTAGAGGTCCACGGCCAAGGTGTTGCAGGGTTGGCTTCTTCTGAGGTCTCTGTCCATGGCTTGCAGATGACTGTCTTCATCGTGTGTCTTTGCATGGTCTTCCCTCTGTGCATGTCTGTGTCCTAATCTCTACTTCTTATAAGGACATCGGTCATATTGAATTAGGGTATACCCTAATGCCCTTATTTTAATCACCTCTTTAAAGACCCCGTCTCCAAATATAGTCATTCTGAGGTACTGAGGGTTAAGACTTCAACGTATGAAGATGGGGGGCAGGCCCATAACAAACACATATTAAACTTTATCTATAAATAAATATATATTTATCAACTATATTCATAATGAAAATATATTAAACAAATACATATTAAACTTTATAAATATGTATCAAATATATAACAAATACATATTAAAATTTATCTATAAATATATATTTATCAACTATATTCATAATGAAAATATATTCCTGTTCATTGGACATCTTCAGAATCATTGACTATGCCTGGCAAATATATGTATATTCACTGAATATATCTGAGAAAAATAAATGCATAAATACAGAGAATATTCCTTTAAACAAGCTTTTTGATAAACTGGTTATCTTGGTAAACTTGACAAGTTGGTCAATGGGGTGAATTGACACTTTGTTGAATTGTCTCTCTGAGAATTAAAATTGGGGCAATTTGACCCAGCACTTTTGAAAAACCTATGTGAACCAAAATCACACCTACTGTATTAGTCCATTTCTGTTGCTTATAGCTGGAACTTGATTATAAGAAAATGAAATTTATTGCTAAGTTTCAGGGGCTGGAAGTCCAAAGTTCAGGGAGCACATCTGGTGAGGGTCTTGGTGGTGGCAACAGTGACCCAGGAGTCTCACATGGCAGAAACGACAGAGTGGAGACAGTCTCACTGCTCTGCTTTTAAAGCCCTCATAACCAGGCCCATGACCACTGTTATTAATCCATTCACTAGGCCTCGTCCTCAGAATCTAATCACCTCTTCAAGACACCACCTTTCAATTACCGTAATAGGATTTCCCACCCTCTTAACAGTCACCATAAAACTTGGGGAACACAATCCAGCCACCTCTCCAACCTCCAAGAATATCACATTGTTACCTGAGAGAGAAAAGCACACAAAGCCACGAGCACCTACTGAAACAATAACAGCAATTGGTTTAAGGTTAGCTAGCAAAGGACATTATGAGGGAGGATTCTCGAACTCAGGGAAGGTCAGTTGGGCAGAGAACTCCCCTGGGTGCCTCAGGACCCTAACACATGAGATGTGGGAGGAGGAGGGAGAGATGGCCCTAGAAATAATTCTTGTTTCCCCAACTTTGCATTCCTGTTTCCCCTTCTTCCCCTGGACTTCCCCAACTCAGGTCACACGGCCATTTCTGTGTCACAGATGCCTCTTCCAAGTCCCCCTGGCCATTGATTCTTGGCAACTTCAGCTCCTCGAGGCCCAAGTCCCCTCCTTCATTCATTCAACAGTGAAAACCTGAGGACCTTAGTGGTGAACCCCTTTCCCTTTCACATCTGTGTCCAAATTTAGTGAGATCTTCTTCCCTGCTGTCTCCCTCCTTCCTTCCATTAGTACTGTTGACCCTCTTCTTTTCAGAATCCATTTGTCTGTGCTCTGGTTCTCGCGCCTTCCCACCAGCCTCCTCCATACCTCCCCCCATCAACTGTCGACCCCCCTCCAACCTCCCCCCTTTATCTTCAACCACAATCTCCTCCCTACATGCTTGACAAGACTCCCAACCCTCTCTCTCTCTCCTCATTCCCATCAAGCTTTATGAAATAAGCAAGTCATCTCACTTTCTCCACTCTGCCTCACTTTTCATTTGGGTCAACTCATTTTTATATTCTCCACGGGACCTAGCACACACATCATGGGTGCTCAAGAAAAGACATTTGGATTAATCATTGAACTGGATAATCAAATATTCCTCAAGAAAGAAGCTTAAGGATCATGCAGGATGCAAAGAAGATGTTGTTCTTGTCTTCCCAGACGGGGCCTTGGAATTAGTGAGACAAGACAGAAACATGAAAAATGTCAATAGAGCCACATCATGGACAAACGTGACAGAATCTTTAAAATGGAAGCACTTGGAGAGAGGCCCCTGGGACTAGATTAATAGCTTCCTGTCTCCCGCAAGTGCTTCTGTGAGTGCAAATAAAATCATAGTAAAATCATACTAAGGAGCAAAGAACCACCATTGTGCCAAACGGGATTTGCATAAAATGAAGGAAGTATCTGGGGCCCTCTTTTGTTAGAGGCATTGGTGGACGAATGGCTCAAAGCAATGTGCAACCCAGGGCAGTATGGGGTTTTCAGGACCTTCTGAGTGTCAGAGTGATGTTAAAACTTTAAACAAATTAAATTTAACGAAGTTTAATTGAGCAAAGAACGATTTGGGAATCTGGCAGCCACCAGAACCAGAATAGGTCCAGAGTGACTTCGGCGGCTGCCTCATAGTGGGCTAAGATATAGAGACATAAAAGGGAAAGTGACATACAGAAAACAGAAGTGAGGCACAGAAACAGCTGGATTGGCTGTAGCTGGGCCTCTGCCTCATTTGAACACTGATTGAACAGTTGGCTGCCTTTAATTGGCTGAGACTTGGCTACTTGTTACAACAGTAGGTCACAGTCTGTTTACACATCAAGTTAGACCACAGTTCACTATGTCTGAAGAAACCTTCAGACCAAACTTAATTAAACAGTGATTAAAGCTGGAACCTGGTCCTGGCTTCCCCTGACTGTGTGCCCCCAGTTTCTCCAGTTATAAACTGAGGGGCGATGCTCTGAAGACATGGAGTATGCGCAGCAATCTCAAGGTGACTGTCCACCCTCTCTGCCCATGTCTTCTGTGACCTTCAGGGCCACACCCTTCCAGGCAGCTGCAGAACTTCCTCTCTCTGAGCAACACTGGCAGCTGAGAGGAAATGCCAGTGGGCTCCTGCTGCTGAGCCTTCCTCGAGGCTCAGGCCTGGGGGAAGCCCTGTCCCCAGGTCCAGGCTCTGAGGGGCCTTGGCCCCCTGAAAGTCCATGTCCAGTGCCCACCTGAGTATTCACAGCAGCATTTCTCATGGGCTGTGCCCCAGAGTTCCCACAAACCACAGCAGCATTTACAGCCTACCTGGGAAGACCTGCAACCCTAAATTCTTTCAGGAATGTTGAAATAAGACACAGTATTGAGCTGAGGAGTTCTGTCATTTGATAGGTTGGAGGAGTCAAAGGAAATACATTTGCAAAACCAGGTTACTCCTCCAGTAATAAGAGTAATAACTATTATTTATAAAATACTTGGCATGTCCCAGGCTCTGTCCTATAGTGCTCACCACTTTCAGGAACTGGTTCCTCTACATAACAGTGAGCTACCCACTGGTATCCCAGCACCCACCACAAGGCCTGGCCCATTGAATGCAAATGGGAAGAGAGATGGTGATTCCTTGTCTCTGATCATGTTCTTTGAAGAGAAAGAATAAAGGAGAAAGACTGATAAAATCTGATCCAGGAAAAACTAGGGTCCAAAAGGAAGAAAGCCCCAGAGACCAAGGGGAGCTGGCCCATAATCTATCTCCACTCCCTCCTATGGAGCTTAAGCTAAGAATCCCCTCATTTAGAGATGACGGAGATCCACAGACAGCTGCCATGAACAGAGAGAGCTAGCACTGCTGGAGAACTAACTCTGTTTTTTCTTCTCAAATGGAGCATGCTGGCAGAGAAAGGGGAAGAAGGGATCAAGCCTTTTTGTCAACCATGAGCACCAATCACAGGAACATCCAGTCAGCTTTCAAGTTGACATTTGGCTCTTACATCCATTTTACTGTTTGAGCATTCTAAGAATTCTATGGGCAGACAGAACAAATGTCAACACCACTACAATCATCCCCATCTTATAGATGGAAAAACCGTCAGACCAAGGGACCTGCCTATGGACTCACAGCTAGTCAACAGCAAAGGTCAGAGCTCAGCCTTCACCCTCTGGCTTCTGTCTAGTCCAGGAAATTTCCACTAAATGGTACTGAGGCAAATCCTTAATCAGGAGAGGGACAGAGTGACTTGAGGGGGGTCTTCATGGCCACTCTCCTAATCATGGTCAATATTTGGCATTAATAGTTTGGCAAGATGGCAGCAAAATGTGCTGGGAACTCATGGATGAATCAGAATCGAGGGGGTAATCTGTGTTTGGAGAAGCGTTCCTGTGGAGATTCACAAGCTCCTGACCAAGGCAGGATGAACAGATAGAGTGCTGGGCTCTTTCTTTATAGAATCCCACTCTCCTTGCCAGGGACTTCAAGGAAGTATGGCAAACAATGACTTTTTCCCCCCTGCAGAGTAACAATCACATTTTTCAAGTCTATCTGAAAAGTTATGCCTGTGCTCTGGAGACATTGGTTAAAAAAATAAAGCCATAGATTCCTCTAGGCTTTTATCAATTAATTACAAATTTACTTACAGCCTTCACCCTCCCTTACACACACACACACCCTACTCTGCTATTTCACAGGTCTAGACAGAGATCGCTATCTAAATACAAAGTTCTGAATTGCTAAGTGGTAATATTAGTTTGGGTCTTATGTTAGCCCTGATCACATTAAGCAAGATCACATAAGGCAGCACTTATATCAATTTTGACAGTCCCAAACTAATCCATATTCAACCCCCGAGTTTAATCTGGTTTCTATTGGTTGGTAATTTAATTCTCCTACAGCTGCAACCCACCATCTGTCAACCATCAGAGCTGCCTTTAAGATTAACCTAGGACTCTATTGTGGGAACAATAAGTGGATGGTTGTCTTTGAAAAGTTAGCCTCTGTGAGAGTCAAAGATCATTCTGGAAAGTTTTGAAATTCATGGTCTTGAAAGAGTTTTTTTTCCCTCAATTTGGTTTCAGAATGCTGTATAGTCACAGCATAAGGACCTCCGGCATCCCATACAATAAAATCGCAATTAATTTTAAAACTACCAATTTATGATGTGAATACAAATTGATTATATTTACAGTTTCAAACCTGGTGAGACAAAATTAGGCTCATCTCAGTCTTTTCAAATACCTTGACTGCTGTGGAGTATTTGTCTAGAGTCTGGTAAAATGAATACTGTATCTGTAACACCTGCACACCATGGGTCAGCTCTGTTCTCAATCAAGGGTCTCCTACTGATTTATACTTGGAAAGGGGAGGTTTTATTTTGCTTCTCTCCTGAGTGGGCTATTCAATGTGGATGCCTTCCCTTCCCCTTTCAGCTCTGCCCCGCCCACCTGGTGAGTCCTGCCTGGCATCTCTGGACCCATCCCCATCTAGAGTATGTACTGCCACTGCAGGTAGTTTATACCTTTATTATTGCACCTCTCCCAGAGTTGCAATTATTTTTGCATATGCCTCTCATTATGAATGAACAAGCTGCTTAAGGATATGGAATGCATCTTATTGAATTTTTTGCCCCTAATACCTAAGAGTATCTGATGTGTATCCCCGATATCTTTCACAGTGCCTGTTAGCTGAATTGAAAAAGTAGATAAACGTGCTGAGTGTTTCAGAGGAGTCATAGAGGCTGGATTTGATAGAGAAGGGAAGAGCATTAAAAAGTATTGAGAGTCTTTTACATCAGGTGTTGTTCTAGACTCTTTACACATAGGACTCAGCCTTTAGTTAAATGTAGAGAAACTTTAACAGCGACAAGACATATTTTACTTGCTGTCCCCTTTACAGTATTTTGAGAAGCCTTTAGGAACTTCTCTGAGTTCTGTTCCTGCCCTGGCAGCCTCCATTAGTATGCTGCATCAAGACCTTTGTCTTTTTGAAAGGGGACTGTTTCTCCGGTTTTGTTTTTGTTTGGGGTATTACATTCTGCTGGGAAGTGCTAAACCAATAATACCTTATACCTTATTAATATCCTACAGGATTTTTCTAATAAGAGCAACTTCTCAATTCTTTCCCCATACGACTTCTTACTCTATTCCTGTGATGAAGGTGGAGTCTAAGAGGTGAAGAAGTCTGGGTGGGATATGAAAGTAAGTGACACACACACTGCTAATGTTTGAATCTTTCCTTTCTGACAACTGAAGTTTTGGTTTTTCCTGGACCACATTATGTGTTGTTTACTTAGGATGGCTTCTTATATACTTCTCCAGTTTGCAAGAGTTTACCACTTTGAACTTTCAAACCAGTTTAGGCTTAAGTTGAGCCCTTCCCGACCTTTTTCCCCATATATTATCTAGTTTAACCATCACAATGCTACTCAGTAGAGATATTCTCATTTTACAGAAAGAGAAACTAACGTGCAGAGAGTTTAACTTGCCCAAGGACACAGAGCTTGATTAAGTAGTAATCAAGTGAGCCCTTTTCTTCCTAAGAGAAAAACAGACAGTTCAAGGTTGGGCGCACAAAAGGAAGGTGATCAGAGTTAGAACTGGAGCTATCTTCCAGAGCTAACTGGGAGTTGTTCTTACTGGCCACATTACACCTCTCCTGTTCTCTCCTGTCCTTGGAATCTCAGGTGAACAACCAGACACTTACTTCATAGGGACAGAGAGTAACAGACTGAATGTGGGTGTCCCATATATGCTTGAGAGTGAAAAGAGAGTTTTAAACAGAATTAAAAAAAAAAAAATCCCTATAACAAGATTTAAAAAGAAGATAGTTACTTTAAAAGCACACTATTGTACCTACGTTCATAAATGCCACTGAAATCCAAAGACATTCTCTGGTTACACATTTATTTGTGGGAGTGTGAAACCTGTTTTTCCTGTTTTTAAGTTTCGAGAAACCAGTCCTATTTTCTATGTAAATTATATGCTATGAGATTATTCTTTACTTATTCTAAATTTAAGTGTAAAGCTTCTCATCTAAGCTTTAGATAAAAAAGGTTGTTCATATTTGGAGCACCTCAATATGCAGCTATACTGTACGTGCAACACAAGCACGTTTTCAGGATGCATTCCTTAAAAAGAACAGGTCAAACTGACCCAGCACTCTAAACACCCTGGGCTTCAGCCACACCCCTCTGACATCTGCATCCAGCCCAGTAACCACCAAGACGCTGCTGGAAGCACCCGGTCTCCCCTGCTGGAATGAGGGGGATGCCACGGGCCTCAACACCCCCCCCCCAACTCTATTTTCCTGCCCCTTTCTTCTCCCCCACCCCCAACTGCTCCACATCTTAGAATGTAAGAATATAATATTAATTAAAAAAAAGAAAAAAACAGGTTGAGTATTGAATGTACATACATAGGATTGTTTGTACTGTATACATACAACTCAGGCAATGATTTGTCAAAGCAGCAATGAGCCAACCATAGACCTGGAACTCATACTGTTAATGCCCAGACTTCAGTAGATCAAGAAATCTGAGTTAAAGTTAGCCTTTTTTAAAAAAAAATTTTGTTGAATCATAATTGATTATACATATTTTGGGGGTTCAACATTGACATGTTGATCAAATCAATATTACTTGCATATATATTGTTACAAATCGTTCTTATTCTTTATGCCCCTTGTCCAATCTCTCCCCCTCCCCCCCCCCTCTGATAACCCTAGATTTCTTCTCTCCTTCTGAAAGAGTAATGGTTACTCTGTTGATCTGTTGCCTAGATGATCTGTCCAATGCTGAGAAGTGTGTTCAGGTTCCCAAACATTACTGTAGAGCAGACACTTCTTCTGTCACTCTGGAATGGGCTTTGTGGAGAGAGACATCCTCTTCTTTGGTCTCTGCTGGTGACTCTCCTTGAAAGTTAACTTTTCAAAAATTAAGAGTGCTTAAACATGCTGACCCATCAAGAGTTTAACAGACTGCCAGTGGTACCTCATTAGAGCTAATAAGCTAAAAGAAATTTGCTATCTACTCATTTAAGCCTATAAGAGCTGCATCTAGGCCAGCTCATTTTCAAAAGTTTTAATTTTGCTTTGCAAGGAAGAAATGTCAGTTTTCAACTCTGTGAATATTTTTAAAAAGTCAATTGATTCATCAAAATAAATTAATGTGTTGGTAATATATAAAAGTTTATAAAAATTAAGACCAGCTATTTAGTATTTATGACAATCTTTTCCATTAGTTGAAAACAAAAAAAGCCTTGAAAGTTTAATATAATGCAGTAAAGCTTATGTGTCACTTTACAAGGACTGATGGAGAAGCAGATACAATTCAAGATTTCCTTGTTCTTGGCTGTTGGTAAAGACAAGGTCAAGTAGCCTGAGGAACCGGTTAAGGCCCTGCATCCCACCACACACTTATTACATAGTAAAAGGTCATTTATCCAGGAAACAACTGCTACAAGAATATTTTACAGTCACCTTGCCCTTTTAGAGTAATACATCTAAACTCTGAGAATATTGTTATGCAGATAGATCAAGTCCCAGACTTCAGAAAAATGACCTGCTGTACTTTAATTACCTGCTACCTAACTGGTCTCATGTTTAATAGAGATAAGAACCATAGGACGAAGAATTGGCTAAGGATCCAGGGTGGTGGAATGTTAATCTTAGAGCTCCAGCCAGCAAACCCAGGCTACCGTATTTAGAAAATGAGATTTTTCTCTGTCCCTATTGGCTTTTGAATGCTCATGGCACTTGCTTTAGAATCGTGAAAATGAACAGCAAAGATTTTTCTCCTGTCTTATTTTCTTCTTCTTTCTAAAATTGCTTACTTTTTCAATTAACAGTACTGTGGAACAGTGTTCTCAGCCTCCTCCCATCCCAGCTGCCATTCCAACCATGATGGGGTAAGAATGTTTACATGCATCCTATACTCTTTTTTTTTAAAAAGATGACCAATAAGGGGATCTTCACCCTTGACTTGGTGTTGTCAGCACTACGCTCACCCAGTGAGCTGACTGGCCATCCCTATATGGGATCCGAACCCGTGTCCTTGGCGTTATCAGAACCACACTCACCCGAGTGAGCCACGGGCCGGCCCCGCATCCTATACTCTTAAAAAAGAATCCAGATATCACACTGCAACACAGATAAAATTGACTCACATTATGCACATTTTCCAAGTCCTCACCTGTAATTCCACTTCTACTATAATCACATTTATTGAATACTTACTATGTGCCAGGTACCTAAGTGCACTGCATGTATTAAACTAATTCAATCCTCACGGTAACCTGTGAAATAGATATTATTGTGATCCTCACCTTACATACTATATGAGGAAACTGAGGCACAGAGAGTTTAAGTAACTTCCTCGATGTTACCCAGCTAGTAAATGGCAGAACTGGGATTCCAGTCTGGTCTCAGGGCCAGTGTTCTGACACACAGTTTTCAGAATGCACGTGAGAAAAACATCAGAGATAATTTACTCCTATTTTTAAGTCCATAATTTGCAAACTATAATATCTTGTTATTAATAATCAATTACTTTGAACATATCTCACAACTGATGGGGACTCACTAGATATTCACAGAACCCCACCGACACACTCATTAGAACTTAAGACATGTCTTCTATGACACCAAATACCCAACTGTGTTAACTAGTGAAAATGATTTGAGAATTTACTGCATTCCTACCCAAAATATGGAAAGTAAAACTTTGCTTTTCCATTACTAATTTTCAGGAAGATTTTGCTGTCACTTTTTTTTTTGTTGTTCTGTACTTGCATTACACTGAAGGTGTCTATGGTATGAAAACTGAGTATTCTACTTTTACAATGTTTGTTATCAATGAATCAAAACTCTTCAAATCCTGATGTTTCTTGAGGAAAAAGAAAAACCAAAAGTCAAATAGCTGGCCTAAGCAAAGGACCAAAAATAGAGCTTCGGTCTTTTGATGTAAAAACTACTACTGTAGTAAGGAAGGAACATTTGTTTGAAAAACTAATTAAAATTAATTAGAAGTTTCAAGTACTTCAGATATAAATCATGCGTTATGTAAATGGTACTTTTGAAGTGAATTTAATTTTCAGAATTTCACTTGAACTAATTTAGCCTCTTAAATATCTGTCTCCCTCTCACAGAAGATATCAATAGCAAAAATGTTTTACGAATTGCAATTTATGTAGCTTCATGAATGACACTCAAAAGGCATATCAGAATGAAATGAACAGAAGGATAAGCCGAATACAATTTTATAAGAAAAAAAATCGTTCCACTTACCCCATGTTACCTTCTGAAAGTAACTCATAATAGGTAAGCTTGTTTTTTAAAATCTGATTTAGTTTACCTTTAAAATACAAGTTTGAGGGAGCTGGCTGTTTGCTCAGTTGGGAAAGCGTGGTGCTGATAACACCAAAGCCCAGGGTTCATATCCCTGTACTGGCCAGCCACCAAAAAAAACAAAGATAAAATATGTGTGATTACATTTCAAAATAGATTCTGTTTTTAACAACTTCCTTTCTATAAACTGTTTAAAGACAAAGTCAAGCAATGCCATCTACAGGGAACCTTTAGAACAACAGTCGTACTTCTATGACCCACTGTTTAATACAATATCTACAATCTGAGTTAATATCATATTTGGCATCATTAAACAAGGAAAATTTCAAGAAATGGGGTAAGAAAAATTAAAAGGTATTCTGTGTAGAAAAAAATCCCACTAACATTCTGGGTTACTAATACTTCTTAAAATAATTCAAAATCCTCTCCACTCCAAGTTCACCAAACATGATCCATGTACTGCGGCAGATTACAATGCAAAGTTATGCAACCTCAAAGAGCTTTAAAGTTATAACTAGTATATGCAAGACTCAAATCATTTAAGACTAAACCTGCAAGAATTTTCTTTTCTCAACTGTTGAATCTCCCTTTCCTCTTGAGTAGCATCACTTTTACCTTCTTGGCCAGATTCTCTGACTTTTCAGATATTTAAATAGTTTATTTCAGTTTGTAAAAGTTCAGTCCTGTTTACTTGAAACCTATTTCATAAAAGACTCCACATTGGATTTAAAGCTTTTTTCCTCCTTATGTAGTGTAGGCTCACTCTAATCACACATGGTTAGTTTTTATATTTTTTCCTCTCTTCCCTTTGGGAAGTAGATGCCAAAAGGGTTTACCTTATCGCAATGATTCTCAACTTAGGCTAAATATTAAAACCACCTGGAGCTCTTTAATAAAAATACAATGCCTCTGATTTAATCAGACTGGGATGAGACCTGAGCATGAGTTTTGTTTGCTTTTAATTTTCCAGGTGAACCTATGTGCAGCCAGGTTTGAGAAAGACTGCCTTACTGTGTGGTTGCAATCCCTTCCTAATTGGCTATGACTGCATTCTAAGTGGTTTATAGGTTCCATTGTGCAGGGGCAATCCCCACTCACCCAGAGGACCAAGGGCTCATTCCTGAGCAGTTTGCCCAGGCACTGGCAGTCCCTTGAGATTTGAGAGTTAGCTATATTTTGGCTGATCTCCAGCTAGTGCTAATGGCATCACATCTCATTCATCTAAAGTACCTTTTAACTCACCACTCATCCTCACCTCAACTTGTGAACAAGTTGCTGTGGAGGTCCTCTAGCAGCCAACTCATGTATCAATTATCAATTCTCAGGCTGGCAGGGTCCATCATCCTCCAATTACATCTCCATGTTCTAGAATAAAACAGATGAGCTAATGTGCTGAGTTAACACAAATCCAACCAGAGGCGGAAATGCTGGTCTCCTCTTCTTGCAATCATCTTGAATCCTGAGTTATTTCCTTAGGCCTTCCTCTTGTGGTTTCTCAGTGCAGATGCACTGTTCTCTCCTTCCAAGGGGAGAGCCCAGAGGACTAAATCCCTTCTAACACTGCACTCCTCCAAAACAGGACCTCTCCCAGTCCTGCCCTGCTGTGGAATGGTGGGTGGTAATAGAGCATGTTCTCCGAACTAGCACCCGTTGTTAACCCCGTAGTGTTCACTGGACCTACCTACCGGTGAGGTTATCTCATCTTAGAATGTAAGATTTGGCACCTTTTGACCTCAGCTTTGGCCTAGTCCAGAACAGAAAAAATATCCCACTTGATTTTGTTACAAATTATTTACCTCTACAGTCAGTCAGTATCTTAGGTCAATTCCCCAGAAGCAGACAACGAATGTAACACAAGTGATTAAGGAGGCGATAAGTAAGAGTGGGACCAACAGGACAGGGAATGGGAAGAAGTCAAGCAAGGGTGATTCTGGCAAAGCTGGACAGAATCTACTACTACTGCTGACTTCAGCCTGATTCCTCCAGAAAATTTTGGAGTGTAAGTTGAACCTATCTGAGGAAAAGGATCTTGGCTTTGGTACTGTATATTAAAAGCAGAATGAAAAGGGGAGGAGGGCATAAAAATTGGTGGGTGAAAAGGGACCAAAGGAACCTTATTTTTACAAGTTCCATAACATTATGGAACAAGCTAGAAAGTGGCCATTTGTCCTGAGACCTCACTAATAGCTAGCATTGTCTGTAACTAACAAAGGATCACACAGTTAGGTCATACTAACTGCTTGGTAAACTGCTTAATGAAATGCTAAGGACAGTATGAAGAAAGTATTTTGAAAAAGAACAACAAACCAAAGTTTAAAGTAAGCCTAAAAGGAAATAACTGTTCTCTTAACTTTGATCTTTAATGTCTCTAAATAGGGCTTTTTCTCTTTCTGGAAAGCAGTCACCTGCTTTAGATGTTCATTATCTTCAAAGCTATTTCAGAAACATTCACAAACTCACAGGGTCTCAAAACAATGTTTATTTTAACACATAAAATGTGCCATCTAGCACCAATGCCTGTAAATACCAGAATTCCATCTGATTGCTACTCTTCGGACTTGGTGTGACTAAAGACCTTGACAAATTAGTCCACGTGAGATGATGATGATCATGATAACATAAAACAGAGACAACAAAGAATTAAATCAAATCTATACAGAAACACATTTGTAGTTATTAAAAAACCTCTCACTGTTTCATGTAAACAAGTTAACTGAATATCAGTATTTTTAAGCCAGATTTTCCTGCAAGATACACACCAGGAAAAGTGCGTAAGCCACAAAAGTGCATAAGCCTGAAACTGGGCTTTCTATCTTTACTCCATTATCAAATGAAAAATTTTGTAAATATGCCTTTTGTTTCCCTAATCTCCTGATTTGTCTTCTTAGCAACTCACTACAGTGTAATTTACTATTTAAATCACATAAACATGTATGGTGGAGAGAAAAAAGAAAATGCTGGCCAATATAAGTAAACAAGACATATTCTGGTTTTTTTTGTTTTTTAAGTAAAAGAACATTTAAGTATTAAAGATATCTTAAAAGAAATGAAGTGGAAGACATATGATAAAAACTACTGCATAATTATGTACACAATGAAAACTTCCTTTTAAATTTACCTATCTTGAAGACAAACTAAAATTTACTGCTTTGGATTAAAAACATTATTATATAGTAACAGATATCTCCCTTTAGAAACTGGATCAATTTATCTCTAGTTTCCTGAAAATATGTCAAGGCAACCATGCTGCTTCACTATATATTTTAAGCAGGCTTTATGCTAACCTCAGTACTAATTTTTATTTGAGTGACTGATTCCCAATGTTTCTTTGAGCAGAACTTGATGCCAAGCTAAGTAACCTAAGTTGGATTTCAGGCCCATTGGCTGGCAGGCAGGCAGGCAGTCCTTTTTCACATTGCAGGTAGTAGCCAGTGGTGGCTGTCATCTATATACCGAATTTCTAAAGACATGCTGGGAAAATCTGTGAACACAATCTTCCATGCTGTATTCACATGCTCCATTCACATCTTTAGCTTATCCAGGTTGTTAAGAGGCTTGGGTAAGATGGCTAAAGGTTTTTCATGATGGAAATTTCTATAAGAAAAAAATGAAGACTTAAAAGATTGATTTCTCAAGATCAATTAAGTATTTAATGGGTACTTAAATACTAGGTAATATATCTAGTAGTGGCTAAATGCAATTCAAGTGAACAACCATGCCTAATGTTTAGATATGATTTTGTGCTGACACCTAAAGTACAGGCAACCAAAGAAAACACAGATGAATTGGACATCATCAAAATTAAAAACTCTGTGCTTCAAAAGACACACCATCTAGAAAATGAAAAGACAGCCTACAGAATGGGAGAAAGTATTTGCAAATCACGTATCCGGTTAAGTGTCTAGGATTTAGAACATATAAAGAACTCTTACAACTCAACACTAAAAGGACAAAATAACTCAATTTGAAAATGGGCAAAGTATTTCTCTACTTTAACATGAAAAATATGAACAGACATTCAACATCACTAGTCATTAGGGAAATGAAAATAAAAACCACCATGAGATACTACTTCACACCCATTAAGATAGCTATAATCAAAAAGATAGACAATAACAAGTGTTATGACGATGTGAGGAAATTGGAATCTGCATACACTAAGGGCAGGAATGTAAAAAGGTATAGTAGCTTTGGAACAGTTTGGCAATTCCTTAAAGAGTTAAACACAGAGTTCCCATATAACTTAGCAATTCCACTCTAGGTATATACCCAAGAGATTTGAAAACATATATTCGCATTAAAACTTCTACGCGAATGTTAATAGCAGCATTACTCATTATAGTCAAAAATGGGAACAACTGAAATGCCATCAACTGAAGAATGGATGGATAAGATGTGGTATATCCACCAAAGGAATATTATTCAGCCATAAAAAAGAGTAAAGTGTCAATAACACCAAGGTCAAGGGTTCAGATCCCCATACCAACAAGCTGCCAAACAAACAAAAAAACAAAAAGGACTAAAGTGTTGATGTGGGCTATAACATGGATTAACCTTGAACACACTGTGCTGAGTGAAAGAAGCCAGACATATGAGGTCACATAGTTATGTGATTCCATGAGCAAAATGGGCAAATCCACAGGGATAGAAATTAGTGGCTGCCAGGGACTGGGAATGGGAGAGTAGGGAGTGACTGCTATTTCCTTTTTGGAGTGATGAAAACATTTAAAATTGGAAAGTAGTGATGGCTTGCATAACTCTGTGAATATACTAAGAACCACTGAACTGTATATTGTAATAGGGTAAATTTTATATGTGAATATGTCAATTAAAAAAAAGAAATGGTTCTTTGCAAAAAAAAAGCCATAATATTCAAAAAACACAAAATCTTCACACCTCAAAAATTGCTACTTTTAAAACTGTAAAATAGCACCAGCTAAAACTG